GTGTGTGTCTGCGCTATATGTGTGTGTGTGTGTGTGTGTGTGTGTCTACGCTATGCGTGTGTGTCTGTGCTATGTGTGTGTGTTTGTCCTTGCTGTGTGTGAGTGAACTCATTGTAGCAACTCCACAAAAAAATGCATCAAATACTGATTGATAAAGTTCTTACTGTAGTATTTCTCACAAACGTTACGTGAGATCTGCTTCCTGAGGCAGCCGAGGGCGGCGATTGAGGCATGTTGCTGACAGGCACTCGGGAACGGTGGGCGGAGATGACTCGCCTTAAAGGCCCAGTGCAAAATAACAACAACCTTTTCCCAGGTATAATACAGACACTTCAAACAGCTATAATAAATACTCTGATTGGTGTTTTGAGCTGAAACTTTACAGACACATTCTGGGGACACAAAAGACTTCTATTAAATATGGAAAAAGGGGTAACCTATGTGCCCTTAGCAACTTTAAATTTGGAATATAATTCGTTTAAATATTATCTTTGATTTATGCCAATTTTAAGCTACACCAGGTAATATAAAAAATATACATTTATTGTTTCTTTATTTTCTTAAACAAAGGCACATTACTTTTGCTTTATTTAACTTTTCTTCACTTCAGCTACAATCCGACATAAGTCTTCTTTAAAATGAGACCAATCTTAATTTTTTTCACCAAATATTGCCATTGATTTACCCCCTTAACTGTCGCCCTCACTTTTCGGCATGTTCTTCTTAAATCAATGCCAATACATTTTAAAGAAGACAGTCTCTGTCTTTTGTATGTTGTGGTGCTGTATTTATACTGAAACTGGTAGTGTTTGATTTGCTCTGCTTTGTTGGGGTTTAATTATGGTGATATCCTGATTGCAACAAAGAAATACTGAGAAATCTCTGTAGATTGATGGCATTTCATGTCGTTCAGCTGGTTAATTGTTTTATATATAGGGTCAGTAACAAGCCATTTAACCCCTTAACTGTCGCCCTCACTTTTCTTAGACCAGGGGTCTCAAACTCGCGACCCGCGGGCCATTTGCGGCCCTCAGTGCAATATTTTGTGGCCCGCGCCGCATGTTATATGTTTTATTTATACATATATACGCCTTTTTTTTTAGGTGAGGGAATGGAAGTTTTGAGTGAGTTCCCCCACTTTTTCCCCCACTTAAAGCGCTGTCAAGTCTCTGGCAGCAAGAAGTAGGCAAAAGATGCCATGTTCAGAAGAACTGTTCATAATCTTCACTCAATTTTCTATTAATGTTCAGGACACTTCATGTTCAGAAGAAATAATTAAAACTGTTAATAATGACATTTGAGGACTTTTTTTTTTGTGTGAAATCCCTTATGCGGCCCAGCCTCACCCAGACTTTGCCTCCTGCGGCCCCCAGGCAAATTGAGTTTGAGACCCCTGTCTTAGACCATCTTTGTCAAAAAAACAGCAGGTTCCGCTGAAATGTCTTGTTACTGACCCAATATATAAAACAGTTACAAGACTGGTCTGGCCAGAGCTATGGTTGTGTTTGATCCAACATCATAGGCTGTACAACCTCATTCAATTTCCTTTTATTAACAATCTACGGCTACACCCAAAAAACAATGAATCATCTGCAGGACTGCTGCATGCAAACTTTCCAGGAAGATTTGAGATTATTTAATTAGATTTGGCCAGAGTTAATGTTTAAATGCTCTGCGTTTTACTTCATTTCGGTTAACTGTGATTGGTGGTTAAGGGCCCTCGGTCAGCAGCATGCAATGATCTGGGGTAAATGAAGATGCTTACTCAAGCGTTTAACAGAAGATCCGGGTTACTTAGAAGCAATAACACTGATAATGGGTTCATTCTCCTAGAGGAGATGGTTAGACACTGAGAATAGCGCTATTGTGTGGGATTGATCGGTAAATGAAAATCACCACTGCTGTCTGGGACACCACAGGAAAATTTTGGGCAGTCTGTGAAGATGTATTGTTCTGCCATCCTCCAGGGTGCACTGTACAATGTTAGAATTCTTTATTAGATTATCAGTAGTGCAGACATCACAAATATCCTGGAACAAAACCACTGCTTGTTTTATATATATATATATATATATATATATATAAAGTCTAAGTCAATCAGAGGTTTGATTTCATATTTCAGCTTACACGAATGATACTGAAAATCATCAATTCCTCAATATTTTTGTATCAGCTTTTTTAAAAAAATCAATATTCTTTCATTTATTTTCTTTTCAGCTTAGTCCCTTAATTATTCTGGGGTCACCACAGCGGAATAACCCACCAACTTATCCAGCATATGTTTTACTTAGCGGATGCCCTTCCACTGGGAAACATCCATTTACACTCATTCACACATAAACCTAATACAGACAATTAAGCCTACCCAATTCGTCTGTACCACATGTCTTTGGACTTGTAGGGGAAACTGGAACCACGGTGGAAACCCACGTGAACACAGGGAGACCATGCAAACTACACACAGAAATGCCAACTGACCCAGCCGGGGCTCGAAGCAGCAACCTACTTGCTGTGAGTTGATCATGCTACCCACTGCGTCACCATGATGCCCTTTAATATACATCTAATATGCAAAAGTTCTGACCATTAGCTGACAATATATCTTTATTGTTTCTTGTTTTATTCATAAACTCAGTTCATGTTAACGAGGATTTTAAGAAAACAAAGCTTTTGATCCCTTAAAAACTCACAGGCCTGAAAGAAATAAGCATAATTTTTTTTTTATTCTAAAAAAGTCTTTGTCTTATCTATTTCAAACCAAGACACATTTACTTACAAGTGATGTTTCCTAAAAAGAACATTTCTGACCCACCACTGACAGAAAGGGAACTAATCAAGGTCGAATACGGACAAACCCGGCCTTTGAGTTACAAAGTGTCATTTCAAATCAATTGAAGTAACAAAAGTTGGGTTACAACAACCTAACTTTATTATAGTGTAGAAAAAAAAAAGTTTATAGTGTAGAAATAAATTTGGCAGCACGGTGGCTCAGTGGGTAGCACTGTCACCTCGCAACAAGAAGGTCGCTGGTTCGAGTCCCAACTGGGTCAGTTGGAATTTGCATGCTCTCCCTGTGTTGGTGTGGGTTTCTCAATGACATGTACTAAAGGTGAATTGAATAAACTACATTGGCATGTGTGTGGATGAGGGTGTATGGCTGTTTCACAGTTTTGTGTTGCAGCTGAAAGGCCTTCCACTGTGTAAAACATATGCTGGATCGTTGGTGGCTCATTCCGCTGTGGCAACCCCTGATGAATAAAGGGACTGAGCTGAAGGAAAATGAATGAACGAATGATGCTTTATACATGGTACAAAATTCCATTGATTTCAGTGTGGTTTAAATAAGAATTATATATGTATACACACGCACACACGCACTAAAAAATATTTGGTTATTTATTTGGGTAAATCCTGCTGGGTTGTTTGAGGTACTGCAGTTGGTACACAGTTGGGTTGCCCACACGCAAAAATGAATTACAATGAATTTAATCATTAACTGTTTGTAACCTTTTTATTTATATATTTTTTTATGAATGTTGTCAGATTCCTTAGAATCAGTGTAAATCTGTTAAAATCGAATATTATTACATTTAATCAGTTAAAAAATATGAATTTGATATAAATACAAGTATATCTATCTGTGGAAAAATCCAGATACAATAAGTCAAATTCTATGATATTGGTTTACTTAATATTCTTCAAAATTGACGCAGCTCCATACTCCACACAATAAATTAAACAATAAGAAGCATTCAAAACACACTGGATGTATTCATATCATCACATAAACCTTGTTCTATTTGTTTCGTTTATGTTTTACAAACAAATATCAAATCACATAAAGTTTATTAGTTCAGTTATGCTGAAAATATGTAATCCAGATGGATTGACAAGTTTTATGCAGTCAGAATTCATTCATTCATTCATTCATTCATTCATTCATTCAATCATTCATTCATTCAATCAATCAATCAATCATTCATTCATTCATTCATTCATTCATTCAATTACTCATTCATTCATTCATTCATTCATTCATTCATTCATTCATTCAATTAGTCATTCATTCATTCATTCATTAACTCACTAACTTATTCAGTCACTCACTCACTCACTCACTCACTCATTCATTCGTTCATTCATTTAGCTTAGTTCCTTGTTTTCAGGGGTCGCTTCAGCGGATTGAGCGGCCAGTGATACATAAATCTTATTTGTTAAGCCTAAATTTGAGTGGATTTTTGGTCAATATGCACTTATATAAACTTATTACTGTTTCATAAAATGTTTGGGACCAAATGGACCTGGAATGTAAAAAACATTCACAGGCTCTAAATGCATTATGAACGTTAAGTAAAGCTGCTTCTTAACTAATCTAAGGAAAGCAGAAAAGCACTCAGAAGACATTAGCAACCGCAGAACAGCATTCTGGCAACCACCCACCCAGATTTCAACACGTCCCGAAGTAACTTTTGCTCTTCAACAAGTTAAACAAGTCAATATAAACACTTTCTGAAAAACAAGAACTAAACTATTATTATAGATGGTATTATTTGAAAGAATCTCTCTGCTTTCATTGAAATCTTTTTGAGAACAACAGTGGAATAGTTTCTGCTTCTTTCATCAGTGTATTTTTCCGAGCTCATTGTCTCCATGACTCTCCAGCTGATGAAGTGTTTGGCTTGAATAGCAGACACATACTCTCTGCTATTGTCCTGGAAACCTTTCAAGTCTGCTGACGTTAAAGTAACACTTGTGCAATAATTCAACAACGTTTGCTCATCCAGAATCAGATTCCATTTCACCAATGATCACAGAAAATCTGACCCGGCCTGAGACACGCTGTCAACATCCCACTAAAACTTTCCTTTCAAAAACCAAAACATGAGTGGAAACTAAATTTTTTTGGGTGGATTCTTGGTAACGAGACCAAAAAAAAAACAGTTCTGAGGTCAGGATTTAGTCACATTGTGTGGGGGGGAAAAACACACCCAGGTCATTTCAAAAGATTAGAAAAACAAAATCTTTAATGCTACAATACAAAAATATCATCTTTATGTTTGGTCATTTGAAGCCTAGAAATACATAGCAATTATAAATAAATAAATCAATGTGTAAAACTTGGGTCCGCTTGGAGGAATAAAGCTACAACAAAGGAGCCGTCCGATTGTTTGGCCTGTGATAAAAGTCCAGAGAAAACACATTAAGGGAAATTAATGATGACACAAAAACATATTGAGAATAATTAATTAATGGAGACTGTTTGGTAACACTTTAGAATAATAGTCCATTAGTTAATGTAATTACTATCATTAACTTATATCAATAATCTTGTAAAGCATTCATTAATCATAGTTCAATATTTACTAATGCATTATTACCATTTAAAGTTGTGCTTGTTCCAGCATGATCTCACAAGGATTTTTTTTTTTTTACGTTTTGTCAGTTTAGTGGCTAATTCGTACGTGGATAAAATGTACGATTTTAAAAAAGAGGTGTGGCACCCAATCCCACCATAAACTCAACCGTTATTGGGTGATGAGCAAATCATACTAAATTGTACTAATTAGATTGGTCAAATTCATATTAATTAGCCACTAAATCAAAAAGTTACGAATTGCCTTGAGATTGCATTGGCTTGTTTACATTAGTTAATGCACAGCGATTTAACTAATATTATTTCATTTAAATGACATTAACTAAGGTGAGCAAAGATAAATAAACACTGTAATAAATGTAATACTAATAGCTTGTAAATGTTAGTAAATACATTAACTAATAGTCCATTGTTTTAAAACTGTTACCGACTACTTTGCAACTAACACCAGAACTAATGAGTGCATTTGATGATACAAGCAAAAGTTCATATTGAGGATTCAGCATGGGTAGATACCTTGGCTTTATAAAGTCTGATAAAGCAATAACCCGTCTTTTGTCCTCTGATCTTCGCCAGTATTGTAAGAACTATGCAGCATTATCAAATGAGGAGATAAAGTCATTATTATACATTATTTATTGGACATGTTCATTTTTTTGGGGGGGTGGGGGGGTGGGGGGTGGGGGGTTAATTTTAAATTAGCCATTCATTCTGCATGCTGTTTATAATTAGTATCTGGTCAGACATTAACTCTGCAGAGTTATTCTTGTGATTTTATATTAGAAGCACCAAACCAAGCTTTTCTTTCTCACAGCACACCTTATTTGCTTACCATTTTCTTTGGATTTACTGGATTTATTAAGTTTTAGTAAAATGCAAATATTTGCTTTATTCTATAAACGTCTGATAACACATTCATTCAAAATATACATTATTCATTCATTTATTAATTTTCCTTCAGCTTATTCCCTTATTTCACAGGGGTTTTCACAGTGGAATGAACCACCAACTATTCCGGCATATGTTTTTTTTATGGAGCGGATGCCCTTCCAGCTGCAACCCAGTGTTGGGAAACACCCATACACTCTCACATTCACACACATTCATACACTATGGCCAATTTTGTTTACCCAATTTACCTATAGCACATGTGTTTGGACTGTGGGGGGAAACCGGAGCACTCGGAGGAAATTCACGCAAACAGAGCATGCAAACTCCACACAGAAATGTCAACTGGTCCAGCCAGCTCGAACCAGCTTCTTGCTACCCACTGTGCCACGTGACGCCTATATTGTATTATTCATTTATTCATTTTCTTTTCGGCTTAGTCCCTTTATTAATCTGAGGTCGCCACAGCAGAATGAACTGCCAACTTTTCCAGCACATGTTTTACACAGCGGATGCCCTTCCAGCTGCAACCCATCACTGGGAAACACCCATACACTCTCATTCACACACATACACTATGGACAGTTTTTAGCTCACCCAATTCACCTATACCGCATGTCTTTGAACTTGTGGGGGAAACTGGAGCACCCGGGGAAAACCCACGCCAACACGGGGTTTCAGTTTACAGAATAAAACAAAAATGACATTCTACTCAATACAGCTTTAAACAAATCAAATGTTTTATGATTTCTGCTAATTTATGCTTTTGAGTTGTATTGTTGGAGCTTAAGCTCTGATCTGACAACTTTAGATGCTGGAATGTTCAACAAAGGGTCTTTTTTTGTACGGTAGTTTGAAACAATACAATGTCTGAGTTTATCAAATAAATAAAGGTACAAAAAAAACTGTGAATTGAGCTGTCAGTATGTTTTTTAATCTATTGTATGGATTTATTTGTGTGTGTACATACTGTAGTTGTGTACACAGTTGAAGTCAGAATTATTAGCCCCCCTGAATTATTAGCCCCCTGTTTATTTTTTCCCCCAATTTCTGTTTATGGAGAGCAGATTTTTATTACTAAACATAATAGTTTTATGAACTCATGTCTAATAACTGATTTATTTTTATCTTTGCTATGATGACAGAAAATAAAATTTTACTAGATATTTTTTCAAGATATTAAGCTTAAAGTGACATTTTAAGGCTTAACTAGGTTAATCAGGTTAACTTGGCAAGGTTAGGGTAATTAGGCAAGTTGTTGTATAATGAAGGTTTGTTCTGACTATTGAGAAAAAATATAGCTAAAAGGGGGCTAATAATATTGAGCTAAAACTGCTTTTATTCTAGCCAAAATGAATCAAATTACTTTCTTTAGAAGAAAAAATATTATAGAAAATATTGTGAAAATGTACTTGCTCTGTTAAACATAATTTGCTAAATATTTAAAAAGAAAAAAATGAAATGAAAGACTAAAAATTTTGACTTCAACTGTATATAGTTGAAGTCAAAATTATTAGCCATCCTTTGAATTTCTTTTTCAAATATTTCACAAATCATGTTTAACAGACATTTTCCACAGTATCTCTCAGTATCTTATTTTATTTCTTGAATGAAAGCAGTTTTTAATAATAATAATAAAAAAAATTCTAAGGTTAATATAATTAGTGTCACGATCACCAGTGATCTAACTTCTCTAGATCGCTGGAGAAAATTCACATTTACATGGACTACAATCCTGTCTCATATGAACTACAAGTCCTGTCATGCAACACACACCTGCTCCAAGTCTCCAGTGATTAGACTGGAGGAAAGAATGACTACAAGGACTATAAAAACAGCACAAACACACATATTGTTGCTGAGTCTTGTTGAATAGTTTTGTGAACATTGCATTTTTTCTTGCTGTGTTTTTGACCCTCGCCTAATTTGTTTGTTTACATTTCCTGCTGCCTGCCTGCCTGTACTGACTACAACTCTGGATTTGCCTGCATACATGTTTTTGTCCTTGTGTTGACCATTGCATGCCTGACCTTCTCTGCATAAATAAACCTGCATTTGGATCCGCACCTCTCTTGCCAACGTCTACTTCACATTACAATTACCCCCCTTAAGCAATATTTTTTCGATTGTCTACAGAACAAACTACTTTTATACAATGATTTGCCTAGTTACCCTAATTTACTCAATTAACCTAATTAACCTAGTTAAGCCTTTAAACTGCACTTTAAGCTGAATACTATTATCTTAAAAATCTAGTCAAATATTATTTACTGTCATCATGGCAAAGATAAAATAAATCAGTTATAAGAAATGAGTTATTAAAGCTATTATGTTTAGAAATGTGTTGGAATTTTTTTTAATTTCTGTTAAAAAGAAATTGGGGGGAAATATACAGGGGGGGGGGTAATAATTCTTACTTGAACTGTATATATTATTTTATACACAAGATGTAAAATGTCAGTCAAATCCACTTTGTTAAACTATAGAATTGAATTTTTAACATCAAAAGTTGTCGGGGCAGAGATCAAGATTCCCATATTGTGATTCAAAGGAGTAAATAAATGTATATAGACTATGTATATATTAAAGGGGTTACCCTGATTGCCATTAATTAGTAACCATGTTGAGCTTTTGGCAAGTATTAAAGAGACAGTTCACCCAAAAGTGAAAATTCGGTCACTATTTACTGACACTTCACTTATTTTGAAACCTATTAGAATTTCTTCCATTAAACACAAAAAAAGATATGTTGAAAAATAATCACTAGCCATTGACTTCCACAGTAAGTTTTGCCTAATACACTGTTAACAATTTCCTGTAATATCTACAGTAACTTACTGGCAGCAGTTCACCAGTGACTGACTGTAAATCAATCACAGCAAAAATACTCTATTTACATTTACAGCACCACTTATCTAACTGTATACCAGGGGAGCTCAACCCTGTTCATGGAGATCTACCTTAATGCAGATTTCAGTTGCAACGCATATCAAACACACCTGTCTGTATTTATCATGTGCTGTTCAGGTCCTATTTTATTGCTTCAGGTTTGTTTGATCAGGGCTGGAGCTTAACTTTGCAGGAGGATAGATCTCCAGGAACAGGGTCAAGCACCCCTTCTGTATCCTATATGTATTTCCAGAATTGTTTGTATGTCTTTGATGTAAAATATACAGTAATTTTCACAATGCAACTTTAAAATACAGTAACATACTGCATACATGTCCTACAGTAACGTACAGTTCATATTACAGTTATATACTGTATAATTTACAAAAATCTTTAACAGTGTTTGAACTCCAATGACTACAAGTTTCAAAGTAGCTTGTTTTGTGTTTAATAGAAAAAAAATAAACTTCTCAAAGCACTTGAGGAGGAAATTGTTAAGTAAATGTTAAGTTTAGAGTGGATTGTCTCTTTAATTAACTTAACTGAAATTACTTTCTGACTTCACTGAGAGTCAAAATTCAGATCTGCCAAACAAGCATGCCTGTCACTGAAACCAACTCATTAAAAATTATCTGCAGCCACAAATCATCAAGCTTTCTGAAAGACAGTGAAAATATTCAGCATATGAAAAGATGGGATTCATGCAAGAGATGACACGAGAAAGCATCAAAATAACGTGTGAATGAATGCATGTCTACGGCTGCATGCAGATGAAGTTGAGTGATCGTCTGCCATGCTGAAATCAGAACTAGCTAGAATGACATTAAAGCAATCAGACTGAAATATATACTCACCCTTTATGTTTATAGTTATAATGCAGCAAACCACATAAAATGCACACAATGGCCAATGTTGCTGTAAAAAAAAAACAAAGGAAATTTGTATATATATATATATATATATACATATATATATATA